GTTAATTATGTACTTTGTATAATGCATATTCATAACATGAATTCTTCCTTGGAAAACAAAAATAAAATTTTCATGTTTCAGATTTAAAAAAAAAAAAGTAGAAATGAATGACCCAGAAAGCAAATACAATAGATGAACAGGGAGACCAAAGCTAACTGCCCAAGAAGGTTGACAGCACAGATGAACCACCACCCAGACCGAGTAAGGATTTTTAAAAAATGACAAGACATGGACTGCCAGTGTTAGGAAAGACACAGAGGACAGCAATTTCCATAAATAAATTCAGTTTTTTTTTTTTAATTTGTGGCCCATATCATTTCCTGGTGAATTTTATAAAATATTTAAGGAAGAATGAACACAAATTCCACACTAACTCTTCTAGGAAATAGAATGAATGCATCTCAATTCCTGGGGACAACATATCCTAAAACCAAAGTCAGGCAAAAATATAAAGTGGAAAAAAGATCTAGAGCAATACCACTCATGAAAATACAGGCAAGGGGCTGTGTTTGTGGCTCAGTTAGTAGAGCGCTTGCCTAGCATGTGCGAGGCACTGGGTTTGATTCTTAGCACCACATAAAAAATAAATAAGTAAAATAAAGGTATTTTTTAAAAAAAGAAAGAAAATACAGGCAAGATAGGCATGGTGATGCACACCTGTAATCCCAGAGACTCGGGGAGACTGAGCAGGAAGATCACAAGTTCAAAGCCAGCTTCAGCAATTTGGTGAGACTCTAAGCAACTTAGCGAGACTCTGTCTCAAAATGAAAAATAAAAGGGGCCAGGGACGTACCACAATGGTTAAATGCCCCTGGATGCAATTACCAGTACCTAAATAAACAAATAAATAATAGTTATGGGCAAAACTCAACAAATCTGTTAAGAGACCCTGCCTCTTAACAAATCCAGTGATATACAAGATATGGATAATACATGGTGACCAAGTTGGTTTTATCAAAAAACATGGTTGGGGGCTGGGGATGTGGCTCCAGTGGTAGCGTGCTCGCCTGGCATGCGTGCAGCCCGGGTTCGATCCTCAGCACCACATACAAACAAAGATGTTGTGTCTGCCAAGAACTAAAAAATAAATATTAAAAAATTCTCTCTCCCACTCTCTCTTAAAAAAAAATGGTTGGTTTGAAGAACCAAAAATCAGTCATGTAAATCACCCTATTAACACTTAAGAAAAGTTTTGTAATTATTTCAATAGCTTCAGAAACAAGTCTTTTGACAAAATTCAATAGCCACTCATGATAACTCACCACAAACCACGAATGGATAAAAAGTCCTAGATCTAAAACCAAAAAGTCATCTACAAATAATCTACAGCTAACATGATACACTGATAGTGAAAATCAAAAGCCTTTTCCACTAAGACTACAAAGAAAGTCAGTCACAGCTTCTGAGTCTTCCTCTAGCTTCTGCCATTAGAACCATGTTTCCCTCCTTAATAAAATTATGTTTATAACCCCTGTGAGAACATTTATCACATTTTGTTCAATTACTCTATGTACCCCTTTCTTTCTCACTTTAATGTGACATTCTAAAGAATAAGTCCTTTTCACTCATCTTCATGTGAATGTTTATTGAATAACTTAAGAGTTGGAAAGTTGCATAGGCCTGTAATTCCAGCCACTCAGAAGGCTGGGACAGGAGGATCACAAATTTGAGGCCAGCTTGGGTAACATAGCAAGACCCTGTGTTGAGAGCAACAACCCAAGGGGCCCCAGCAAACTTTCAGCTGATTGGCTCACTGAGGCCCCAGCAAACTTCCAGCTGCCAGCTGATTGGCTCCTCTGTGGTGATGCTCATTGGGCTGTTTCCCCGCCCTTTCAGACCACGGAGCTGCTCATTGTGGGATTCTTTTGGCTCTGCCCATGCGACCCAGCCAATCGGCCTCAAGAGCGGGAGGAGTGGGGAATTGAGAGGCTCCCCAGAAGCCAGTAGTAGCAGTTGGGCTCTGAGGGAATTCCTGAAGAGCTCACGTGGCGTGGCATGTGCATTCTAAAAATAAAGTTCGTTCCTGCTTGATAAGTGGCTTGTGAATTGTGCCCAGCCAGACTGCAGCATTTGGTGGCTGGTAGGGGGAATGAACCTGCGACCTTGGCGTTACATACAGACCTAGGTTAATGTTTTGCTGATCAGTTCTATTTTTTGACTATGGAGTTTTTAAACATTGCAATGGAGATTTCACCTGTAAAAAGTTACAAGGCCTTTACTATTATGTTATGTGTTGTATGTATGTTGTATAAAATAAATATTTTATTATGTGTGCACACTTGTGTTTTGTGTTGTATGTTTGTATGTGCGTATGTCCATAGATCATATATGACGAGCGCTCGTGAAAAAATGGATCCAAATTTTTCTTTTATTCACGTGATTTAAATGGTTTAATCAGCTGTTGAGGATTGTTTTATTATGTGAACAAAAAAGGAGGTTAACAGATCTGTTTGTTTACTTTCACCTTTCCTTTTCATTGTAATTAATAATTCTGTTCAGGATAATGTAAATTGTTCAAAAAATTGTTTTCTTTTAGTGCCTGCTGGAATGTTACATAATTTTTTCTTTAGCCATCATTGCCAGAATTCCTATCTTCATCCCAGTGCGGGTGAAGACAAAGATAAAACCAAACCACATGGGCTGGGAATGTGGCTCAAGCGGTAGCACGCTCGCCTGGCATGCGTGCGGCCCGGGTTCGATCCTCAGCACCACATACCAACAAAGATGTTGTGTCCGCCGAGAACTGGAAAATAAATATTTTAAAAAATTCTCTCTCTCTCTCTCTCTCTCTCTCTCTCTTCTCTCGCTCTCTTTAAAAAAAAAAAAAAAAAAAAAAAAAAAAAAAAAAAAAAACAGCTTCTGCAATAGCTATCACTGAACTGCTTGCAGAACTTGCCTGGACTATGTATCACTTATCTGTTGGCGACTTGTGGTAGTGCCGGGGTATTTTTGCTGATGGTGTCATCGGTGGTACAATTTTTCCAAAAGGAGCCGTCAATTGGCTTGGTGTATCCTCCTCCCTTCTGCTTTTGATGGTCGTTCAGCTAAAATTTGGGGGCCAACAGAGTTGAGGCATAGAACCTCACCCCCCCACTGGTACAAAGGCCTATCCACATGTGTGGCTGTATGCTGGACCGGTAGTCAATGACAGGTAAGATCCAATTGCAATGGATCTTAACCTAACACAGGAGGCTGACACCTTGAGGTCAGCTCATCTGATGACGGGTAAGGACCATATGTACTATTGGACAACCTAAGGCAGGCACAGTCCCTAAGCCATATGCTTTTTTTTTTTTTAATTAAACAGAGAGGGGGAGATGTTGAGAGCTACAGCCGAAGGGGCCCCAGCAAACTTCCAGCTGACTGGCTCACCGAGGCCCCAGCAAATTTCCAGCTGCCAGCTGATTGGCTCCTCTGTGGTGATGCTCATTGGGCTGTTTCCTCGCCCTTTCAGACCACGGAGCTACTCATTGGGGGACTCTTTTGGCTCCGCCCATGTGACCCAGCCAATCGGCCTCAAGAGAAGGAGGAGTGGGGGTTGAGAGGCTCGCCAGTGGCAGTTGGGCTCTGAGGGAATTCCTGAAGAGCTCGAGTGGTGCCGCATGTGTGTTCTAAAAATAAAGTTCATTCCTGCTTGATAAGTGGCTCATGAATTATGCCCAGCCAGACTGCAGCACCCTGTATCAAAATTGTAAAAAGGGATGTGGATATAGCTTAGTGCTAAGGCATCCTAGCTAAGTTCAATCTTCCAACACTAAAAAAAAAAAAAGTTGTAGGTTATGTTAACAATCATCTAGTTCAATCATTCTACTTTCCACTAGAGGAAAGCTATCCCCAAAGAAGTCTAGTAATTTGTCCAATATACCACAGTAAGTTAACCATGTCTTTTCATTAGCAAGGTACTATCTTATTGTCTTTTTTTCCTCTCCATTCCCCTACCCCACAGTACTGGGGATTGAAACCAGGACCCTTGCTCATGCTGGGTAGGTGTTCTACTACTCAGTCACATCTCCAGCTCTAACAAAAAACTATCTCTGTGAACTAATCATTAAGTAAATTAGACTTCATTCCCATTATAAGTGAGAAAATTATAGATGAGAAAGGTTGAAATATTTGCCTTGGGCCAATATTAAAATACTAGGCATATTAATACAATATTAAAATATAAGGAATAGAAAAAGACCAAAAGTTTCACATTAAAAACATTTTTATCTTTGGAGCAAGACTATTTCCCAAGAATTCACTTTTGGTTTGTGCAACATGAACCCAAGTTTTTACAATGAGAAAATCAGCTTAGACGTGCAGTCTGAAGCCAGTACAATGGTGCAAGCTTGTAATTTCAGCGGCTCAGGAGGCTGAGACAGAAGGATAGGGAGTTCAAAGCCAGCCTTAGCAATTTAGTGAGGCCCTAAACAACTCAGTGAGACCCTGTCTCTGAATGAAATACAAAAAAGGGCTGGGAATGTGGCTAAGTACCCCTGAGTTCAATCCCCGGTACAAAAAAAAAAAAAAAAAAGCAATGCAATCTGAAGATCTGAAACTGTTTTTTGCTTTGTTTTTGGTATGAGATTGAATCTAGGGACGCTTTACAACTAAGCTACTTCACCAGTCCTTTTTATTTTTTTATTTTGAGACAGGGTCTCACTAAGTTGCTGAGGCTGGCCTCAAATTTGTGATCCTCCTGCCTCAGTCTCCAGTCACTGGATTGTAGGTGTGCACCACCATGCCCAGCTTATTCTTGTATTTTAAAATGTCAAATACTCACCAGTTCCTTGCCACAAGTACCACTTTAAATGAATCACCTTTTATAATATTTGTTTATTTATGTAAACACTCCCAGCCCTGTTCTCTAAGCAAAAGGACAGCTTACTTGAGCACATGCAATCACTGGGGCAGAACTCTACATTTTAAAAGGGAAAAGATTTTAGAATGAAAAAAAAAAAGGAAAATAGGCTAAAATAGCAAAAACTTAGCCAGAGGTAATTTTTTTTTTCTGTAAAAGCACTGCCACTGAATATTTTATTCAGAAAAAACAAAAGGAGAAAGAAATAAAAGTCCTGGTCATTTGCAGTATCTATCAGCTTTCAATTTGGCTCTCCTGTCCAGAAGTGTCTCATGCAAAAATCCATCTTTTCGAGCCCGTTTAAGTATTTTGCTGTCTTCTTTACTTATTTTAAGCTTGTGGTCTTGGAGGCTCTGAAATTTTTTTACATAATTGATTTCACATTGTTTTACATTTCCTTTGTCTTCTTCTGGGATGTCATCTTTTTTCTTGGTTTCCCTTTCAGCACACGACCTAATCTTTATCATTTCTTCTTCTCCTGCTGTTTTACTTTTTGCTTCTATATCTCCTGCTTCATTACATCTAATAAAGCAACTATTTGAGGCCAATAAAGCCATCTTCCCATCTTGAAAGACTGGTTCCCATTGTTCTCTTGGTCCAATTGCATCTGAACGACCAACAACAAGCCCATCTGAATTTATACCAAGGTATTTTCCATATCCAGACTTCAGTGCAATTCTGGAATCAGACAATTTGACAGCAGTAAACTGCTCTGGAGGACTAGGACCCTCATCAACTTCTTTATGTGGTGCTCCCAGTGTAAAAAGACCATTGTCAAGAGCATGAATATAAGTTCCTTTATCCATTTCAATGGCAATGGTTCCTGAAATTTCACCAAAGTTGGATACTGTCCACCAGATTCCTCTTAGCCTTCGTTCCCTTCAGCACAAGTTTGGTGGACTTCACATAGGAGTATTCGGCCATGGTTCTGACAAGGCTTCTGTACCAATTAGTGAGACCTGGCTCTGGACAAATTGCTTAGATTGTAAGAAAAAGGTGGAGCAGAAGCAAAAGTAAGCACTCTGTGACAACTTACGAACCCCCTACAGTCAAACTCCAGCCAGAGGTAATTATGACACAGTAATATATACCACAGAACTGTGGATAATTTCTAGATGGGAGTGACCGTTTTAGTTTTGGATTCCTTTTAGCCAAAGCCAACAGTGAAATGCAGTCAGTTATAAGATTCATATCAACGAGATAATATGTCTCAGAAGGACCATAAACTTTCCTTACATTGATATCTGAAAAAATATCAACATTAAAGGGACACTGTGTAATAGCAGTCAACCTTTATAACATATCTCTATGATAATTATTTTGGTGGGTTTCACCAAAAGAAGGAACTAGGGAGACCTATACCATGGTAAGATCTGTCTATAATTCCTTAAGAAAGAAGATTAGTCAACTAATTTTTTTTTAATTGTCTCTGTCTTAAACATAAGCAGATATTTTTCTTGTCATGATTCCCTAAACAATACCTTATAACACCTCCCCTTCCCCCATCCCTAGGCCCTGACAGTTCTCCATTTCTTTCTTTCTTTTATTTTTTTTTTAAAGAGAGAGAGAGAGAAAGAGTTTTTTAATGTTTTATTTTTTAGTTTTCGGTGGACACAACATCTTTGTCTGTATGTGGTGCTGAGGAAGGAACCCAGGCAGCTTGAGCCACATCCGCAGCCCCTAATTTTAAATCTATAAAAAAGAGTATGAATCTGGTAATAAATCCCTTTATAATTTTTTCCTATAAAAACCTTCTGGAAAGCATAAGACTATCTACTTTCTTACCAAGTCAAAACAGGAGCGTTGAAAGAAGAGTTCTTCTATAGGTTTATCCTCCTGTATACCATTCCCTTCTGTGCTGCTGGTACAACTTGTCTCAATTCCAAAGGCTAGGTAAGACAAAGGCCACAGAGTTTAGAACACTTGACACCCAGTCATAATGAGACCATTTGTTCCATACCATAAACAAACACTAAAATTCCAACAGTACTGTTTGGAAAAACTTGTGTGGAAAAGATTTCAATAGATATGTCTGAAGTAGCACAGGATAAGGATTTTTAGAGAATCAGCCTTAAGAAATGGGAAATATATTAAGCTGAGTGATGGGTTCACTAGGGTTTATTGTACTCTCTTTCTGCTTTTGTACATGTTTAAAATTTAAAATTTTCCATAATAAGAAACTAAGAAAAGAAAATACAATTAGGTTGAAGATCCTCAAATAGACAAAGAATTATGAAAAATAACTAGAAACTATAAAACAAGAGCAGACTGATATGAAAGGCACAAATTAGGAATTTCAGAAATAAAAAAAATAGTAATAGAAATTTAAAGAAAACCCCAAAACAACCATCCAATTGAAAACAGCAAAAGATTGGAATAGACATTTTGCCAAAGAAGATAAATGAATGGCTGGAATAAGCACATGGAAAGATGTTCAACATTATTAGTCATTAAGGATAAAACCACAGTGAGATATGATTTCACATTCACTGGTATGACTATAATGAAAAAGAAAATAACAAGTGTGGGAAAGGAGGTGGAGAAATAGAACTCTCATTCTTTCTAATGGCATATCAAACGGTGCAGCTATTTTGGAAAACTGTGCTAGTTTCTTAAACAATAATATAAATTTACAAAATCATCAAGATGAATTTTGTAAATGTATGAATATTTACAAAAATATAAATATTTTTGTAAATATCTACCCAAGATATCTACCGAAGAAAATGAAAACATATCCAATGAAGATATGTACATGAATGTTACCAGCAACATTATTCATGACACCTAAAAAACGGAACCAATACAAAGATCCATCAAGTAGTGAAAGGATAAACTCTGTACAATGAAATACTTTCATAACAAACAACTTATGCGGGCTATAAAATAGATGAACATCAAAGAAGCCAAGTATATAACAAACAAACATTATATAACAAACATTTAATTCCACTTATATGAAGTATACAGAGATGGCAAATGTATAGAAACAAAGTACATTAGTGGTCACTTGGAGATAGAGGGAAAACAAAAGTAGACTACAGAAGGGCACAAGGGATCATTTTGGTGTGATAGAAATGTTCTGAAACTGGATTGTGATGACAACTGTACAACTTCACAAATTTAGCTGGGTACTGTGGAATGTGCCTGTAGACCCTGCTTCTGGGTAGGCTGAAGCAAGAAGATCACTTAAGCCCAGGACTTCTGTACAAGCATGGGCAACATAGCGAGACCTGTCTCAAACAAACCAGAAAATGTAAGCTTCATACATTTACAAAAAATCATTAAATTGTACATTTTAAATGATATGTAAGGTTGTTTTGTTGTGTGTTTGTGTGTGTATGTGTGTTGCTGAGGATTGAATCCAGGGCCTTGTGCATGCAAGGCAAGCACTCTACCAAACGAGCTATATCCCCAGCCCTAATGATATATAAGTTATACTCAGTGATACTATTTTTAAAAGAGGGTCTGGGAGTGTAGCTAAGTGGTAGAGTGCACAAGGCTCTGAGTTCAATTCCAAAGTACCACAAAGACACACACAATAAATAAATAAATAAATAAATAAATAAATAAATAAATAAATAAACAAACAAGATGGGTAAAATTAAGACTGGACAAAGTTGAGATAATTAGTGAATGAATAATACCAAGGAAGATAATACCAAGGAATTCATTCAATATACATCTCAAAAATAGATTAAAATATGAGACAAGGCAGAAAAAGTGATGTTCAATTAATAGGAGTTGCATGACTCCTCAAACACAGATAATAGAGGTTCCAGTATAGAATAAAAGAAATAGAAAAACAACATTCAAGGAGAAAATAGCTGAACAGTTTCAAGAATAGACAGAATGTATGAATTTTCAAATTTAAAGGATAATTTCACAGAATAATGAAAAACTTACACTTTTATAAGCAAAACTGAAGAACATCAAAAACATACCATAAAAAGAAATTGTTAACTCCAAGAAATTATCTATAAAAGGTACTTATATCTTTAAGATTATAAAAATCACCCGGCGTGGTGGCACATGCCTGTAATCCCAGTGGCTTGGGAGGCTGAGGCAGGAAGATCCTGAGTTTAAAGCCAGCCTCAGCAATGGCAAGGCACTAAGCAACTCAGTGGAACCCTGTCTTTAAATACAATTCAAAATAGGGCTGGGGGTGTGACTCAGTGGTCAGAGTGTCCCTGAGTTCAATTCCCAGTACCTCCCCCGAAAAAAGATTATAAAAAAATCATTAGACTCATAGAATAACTTCCTTAAATTGCTGAAAGAAAATCTATATGTGGTTATGCTCTCATTTAAGATGAAAATCCCCACAAAAGACAAAAAATAGATTATTCTCTTCTGACTCTCACTCACCTCACCCTTACTACAGCATATTAGAACAGCAACCATTAAAAGGAGTGGAATTCAAAATACAAGAGTTTCACATGTTGATTGTTAAATATAAAAAAACATTCAAAGTTAAACTAACACCATGGACAAAAATAATGAGAAGGTAGGCAGAAGTGTTCAATGAATGTTCAATGGATGACTGCAGCATGCAAAGGATAGAAACACCAAAGAGTGGGGCTGGGGATGTGGCTCAAGCGGTAGCGCGGTCGCCTGGCATGCGTGTGGCCCGGGTTCGATACTCAGCATCACATACAAACAAAAGATGTTGTGTCCGCCAAAAACTAAAAAAAATAAATATTAAATTCTCTCTCTCTCTCTCTCTCTCTCTCTCTCTCTCTCTCTCTCTTAAGAAAAAAGAAACACCAAAGAGCTTTATATTTTGGAAAATTTTATAATTAAGCAATATAGTTGCCAGCCTCCAACAGTACCTCCTACTATCCTCATCTCCAGGAATTCATATGATTCAACCGTGTCTGACCAGTGTTTCCAATGAAAAATAACTGAACTGACAATTTTGACTTCTGAGACTAGTTCAATAAAGATGAAGCAATTTCCATCCTGGGGCAGTGGCTCTCAGGGATGGTTTTGTCCCCATCTCCAATATGAGGACCATTTGCAGTATCTGAAGACAATTTTGATTGTCACAAGTGGTAGTGCTACTGGTATCTGGTAGGTAGAGGTCAAGGATGCCGTTAAATATCCTAAGTTGCATGGAACAGTGTGCCCCTATCCCACAGAGAATTATGTAATACAAAAGGTACCAGTAGTACTGAGGTTGAGAAACCTTGCTATAGGGGAAGCTAGATGTCATGTGATGAGAACTGTTCAATAGTCCCATGAAAGTTTAAGGTGGTGAGGAGCTCAGTCTCCTGCTTCAATGACAATTTCCCATCTACGTGCATTCTCTCTCTTTTTAAAATTTTTTTAATTATCAATGAACCTTTATTTTTTATTTATTTATATGTGGTGCTGAGACTTGGACCCAGTGCCTCACACATGCTAGGCAAGCACTCTGCCACTGAGCCACAACCCCAGCCCCTATGTGCTTCTTGAGAGTGAATTCTTCCAACCCCAGTGAAGCCTCAAATGAATGTTGTCAAACCTCATGAAAGACCCATAGCCAGTACCAGCCCACTATGCCACTCCTGAACTTACCACCCACAGAAATTGTGAGATAATAAATTCTTATTGTTGTCTTAGGCCTCTATGTTTTGGGGTACTTTTTTTAGACAATAGATAACTGATACAAACAGGTAAGTCAAACATTTAATATAGGACTAAAAGAACAGAAATAAAGCTTATAGTTTCCATATTAGTACAGGAAAAACAAAGGGAAATTATAAAAAAAAAAACTTTAGTAATCTAACATAAAACAGAGAAAGAGGAAAAAAAAAGAGTGCCAGAAGCACAAAATATACACATATAAATCAAAAGTGTTAATGCATTGAACTTACCCATTAAGTAATAATTAAAACATCAAATTAAAAATATCCAACAACTCAGTACTTGTAGGAGAAAATTCTAAAGCAAAATAACAGAAATATTTAAAATATATTGATGGAATAATAAGTAACAGGAAATACATATAATAGAAAGCTAACAGTAAATAATACCAGACAAAATA